TATTTTGGCAATCAAAAGTTAATACTGACTCTTATTTTTGCCTTCCTAATTATTATAATCTATATCTTCCTGAGGTGATAAATACCTCTAGTTGATTTGATCAATTCACATTGTATGACTGTAACAAAGCATCCCATGTACACTACAAAGGTATACAGCTAGGATGACGCCACGGCACTCTAGCCCAGGCAACACAGTGAGACTCTGTCTCAAAAAAAAAAAAAAAATAGCTTTTACATATTAATAGAAGCAAAACCAACTAGAAGATATAATGAAATAACTTTTTTTATAGTTACAATCCAAAGTATCAGTTACTACCCTGACAAGAAAAGCACAGTGCTTATTTGAAGAAAACTATACAACTTTACAAGGAATGAAGTAATTTAAATAAATGAAGAAATATACTATTTTTCTAGATAGACTAATTTATAAAGAATTATAAAGTAGGATAGTGGTTAAAAATATGGTCTTTGGCATCAGATAAATCTATTCGAATCTTTGTCACTTAATCTCAAAGCCTCAGTTTTCTCATTCGTAAAATGAATATAATAGTTGTAATGATCACAGGATTATTGTGAGAATTCAGGATGATAACCTGTGGAGAGCCTGTTATAGTGCTTGCACCCAGCGAGCCCTCTGTGTATTCCTTCCCGGGAATTTCTTTAGTACTTACTCTGATTCAGGTTCTAGGTATTGGCTGAACAAGACAATGCCTCTACTGTGTAGAGCGTGGTTCTAGAGTACTAATAGAAAAGAAAGATAATTTCAGGTATGAAGAAAAATAAGGCAAACTTAGTGCATAAAGGGTCACATAGTAAATATTCTAGAGTTGGTGGGCAAGGTGATCTCTTACAGCTGTTCAGCTTTGCCATTGTAGCATTAAAGTAGCCTTAGATAATATGTAAACAATTGGGTATGACTGTTCCCATAAAGGTTCATTTACAAAAACAGGCAGCAGACTAGATCTGGCCCTCAGGTTGTAGTTTGCCAGCACTTGGGTTAGTGTGACAGGGTAGTGGAACTATTGTGGATAGGTTTAAAATACCTGAAAAGGCCCTAGAGAGACTTGAACAAAGTAAGGGAATGATGCATGAAGCTAAGGAAGTAACTAGTACAAAGGCTTCAGGCAGGAGTAACTTGGCTTATCCACGTATAACTGAGACCAGTGAGGCTAGTAAAATGAACAATGGGGAGAGTGGTAAGAGGTGCGATGAGAAAGGCAGGGGCTAGGTCACACAGGACCTTGAAGATCTTGGCAATAGATCTTACTGCGTGTGATAGGAAGCCATTGAGCTACCTGACATCTCTCAGGTTTCAATGTCTCACTTCGTCTTCTCTGAGCTCCATAGTGATGTAACTACCTCAGTACTTGACCTCTCTGATGGGCATCTTACTGGCATCTCAAACTTACTACGTCCAGTATAGAACTTGGGATTTAATTTTCTCCCCTAGTCTCTTCCTTCTCAGTACATGGCACCATCTATCTACCCAAATTATTAAGCCCAGACATGTAAGAATTTTCTTAGGTTTCTTCTGTCCCCCTATATCCTTTTCATCCTTACTCCTGCCTGCTCTTTCTCCAGAATATATCTTGAATTCATCTTATTCTCTTCATCTCTAGAGAGATCACCATGATAATAAGCCTCCATCATTTATCACCTGGCTTACCACAACAGCTTCTTGACTGTCTGTCTTCTTCCAGCCCTGCCTCTCTCATCTCATCTGTTCTCCACACAGGATACTTGAAAAGTGTAAATCAGATGGTAGCTCATCCCGCCTGAGAAAAACTTCCAAGATTTCCTTTTGCACTTGGATAAAATCCAGTCTACTTGTTACCATGTCAGATGCGACACTTCCTTTGCTCATCTTTCCAGCTTCGTCCCACACGGTTTGCCTCATCACCTATAATGCTAATTCTCGTTACCGTGTCCTTTTCTCAGTTCCTTCCCTTCAGCTTTCACTCCTTCTGTGTCTATATACTTTTCTTTTCTGGAATCCCCCCACCCCAGCTTTTTGCACGGCTGGCTTCATTTCATTCAAAGTAGTTCTGTCACCAGTGTAAAGGTTCTTGCTAATGTCACAGAAAGGAATTTCAGGACACGCATACAACTGAGCGACAGTGGCAAGTTTAAAGAAGTGAAAACAGACGGGCTTAGGAAAGAAAGGCTTGTGCAGAAGCTAAAGTACACTCCCAAGAAAGGGAGTGGGCAGGCTCGAAAAGAGCAACTGTCCCGAACCCTGAGCGGTTGCTGTTTTTATTCGTTGAAGTCAGAGAAGGCTGGGCGGTCAGGGGAACTCATGGTTCCCCTGTTTTTCCCGCAAAGGGGGGTCAAAACCACAATGTTAATACCGTTGTGATGTATTAGGGGCAAGGTCACATTTGTACTTGTGAAATGCTGGGAAATTAATGGCTCTTTTCTTCTCACGTCTGTTCATTCAAGGGCTATATGTTCCAGCCAGTTGACTAACTTTTCTGTTCCTCCTCCCTTGCTGACCTGACTACTTACTCTAACAGTTCCTTCCTGTTATATTCTAATAGCATCCTGTTTTCTCCTTCATAGCACTTTTTGTTTTGTTTCATTTTTTGAGACAGAGTCTCACTCTGTTGCACAGGCTGGAGTGCAGTGGTGTGATCACAGCTCACTTACAGCCTCAAACTCCTCAGCTCAAGTGGTCCTCCTGCTTCAGCCTCCCAAATAGCTAGGAACTACAGGCACACACCACCACACCTGGCTAACTTTTTATTTTTTATAGAGGCAGGGTCTTACTATGTTGCCTAGGCTGGTCTCAAACTCCTGGCCTCAAGTGCTCCTCCTGCCTCAGCCTCCCAAAGTGCTAGCATTAGAGGCATCAGCTACCATGCCTGGCCCTTCATAGCATTTCTAACAGGCCTTAATTATTTGTTTACATTTTATTTTTTGACTCCTGTACTTTAATGTTAGCTCCATGAGAACAGGGTCAGATGTCTATTCCCTAGCCTAGAATATTGCCTAGCATCCTGTAGATAACTCAATTAATACTTGAGTTGATTAAAGCAAGTGTAGAGATCAGGATCACAAGCTCAATAGCAGTAGTTCATGCTTTGTAAAAATTAGAAACTTCTGCATGTCAGACTCCATAAAATATTCCCATAAACCTGGGGAAGAAAATAAGATGATAAAACACAGTATGTTGGTATCACTAATATGTAAAAAGTTCTGGAAAGCACTATGATCTCAGTAGAAAAAGTGGATAAAAGATATGAACCAATAATTAATGAAAGAAATAGAAATGGCTAACATATATAAGAAAAACTTAATTTTTCCTAGTATCCAAGAATGCAAATTAAAGCTGTAATTTTTGCCTCAAATTTTCAAAAATTAAGAAAATAGTATTTTAAAGGTTGAGGTAAGAGAATTCACATGTAGCTGGAGGGAATATAAAGTTGGTACAGTTTTTCTGGAAAGTACAGTGCTCAAAGTTCCCAGACTGTTTTCCTTTATGGCAACTTATAATCTCAGTTCCTTTTGCATGGCACTCCCCGGCCAATCCAAATACCTAATGGTTCCATTTAAGTAGTTAGGTCCAACCAAGACTAGTGTTTTTGTGTTGTGTTCGACTGATATGACAGTATTTCCCTCGCAAATCTTAGATATTCCACAGTGCCACTGTGAGTTTGCTGTGATGCCCCGGTGCGTTGCAGTGCACGGTTTGGAAACTGGTGATATGGAAGTATGGTTAAGAACTTAGTTTAATAAATGTTATGGTTCCGTAATTCTTCTTCTAGGGATATACCTAAGAAAATAGATAGGAAGAAAGATTTATATGCAAAATTCTGCTCAACAATAACCATCAAATGTCGATATTCACTTCAGATAATTAGGTGTTCTTATTTTAAGTTGTAATTCCCTCTCAGACTTTGGTACCCGGCAGGCTGGTCAAACTATTGACTCTTTCCCTGTAGGAGTTGCAGACCATTTCAGTAACTGCACAGTAAAAGCAGTCTTAGTTTTGAAATTCCAGTCTCCTAGTTGAATACCTAGCATTTGATCCTGATGGAATGAGTTTCTCCCTTATTTCTGGGCTAAAAAGGTTTTGCTTTTCCTTCAATTGAAGATTTGCTTCTGAGATTAAGTTTCTGCTAGTTAACAAATAGGAGGCATTGTTCAACAAAGATCACCTGGGTTTTAAGTCCTGGCCCCTACCTCTTGCTGGCTCTGTGGCCTTGAACAGGTTATTGAAGCGCTCTGAACTTCAGTTTTCTCATCTGTCAACTGGGGTAAGGACTTCTGATGTGTCAAATTCAAGTTGATGGCTGTGATTCTTAAGTGTGATTATATTTGTGGAGCTGCTTTATAATGCTAAGTGTATATAAGGATTAATATTTTTTTTCCATCTAGCTAAAAATCTAGGGCCTTTCTTTTACTTTATATTTTATATAAGCTATAAAAACTATCATTTATTTTTATTTTACTCATAGGTAGTTCTCACTGAAGGAGAACTTCAGCAACTTGCTCAAGTTTCTGTATCAGGTCTGATACAGAGGTAGTACAGAAACTCCTAGTGTTTTACCATGCCAGCCTTCTGTTTTGTAATAATGATGAGCTTAATATGCTCTTATCACATGTCAAACACAAAGCTGTACACATTATTTCATTTAAGTCACAAAACAAAGTTGTGTTATTTAGATACTGTTGTCATGTCTTCTTATAGATGAGGAGACTGGAGCTCAGAGAGGTTAAGTAATTTGTCCAAGTTCCCCTTGCTAGTAAGTGGCAGAGCCTGGATGTTAGCCCAGGCATTCTGATACCACAGCCGTGATCTAGTCACCACAGAATTATATTATTTTGTCATTATATGGCTTTCTATTTCATGAAGATGTAGTAAATATTTTTAATCTGCTTTTAAAAGTTCTGAATTGAATTTTTTTTTGGTTAGGAATACAGTATAGCATTTTATTCATATGGTGTCAAATTCATGTGAAAGAACATAGAGTAAAGTCAAAAGCATAGGTTGAAACAGAACTCCCAGATCTGTCAGTTCAGATAAATTATTCTATGATTTTCCAAGATATATAGAAATCATCTTTTCTCTTTTCGTAGATCTCTAAAAATATGGGTGCTATCTTTGTCGTTACATTATCATTGCTAGATAAAAGTTGCCTTTGTTGTCCAGAATTATTAACTCAATGGTATTCAGCCTGAACAATGGTCTTTTTAAAAAAGAAATAAAACGTAACATGCTAACCGTTGGCACTCTTTCCTCTCTTTCCAGGCATTCTTTAGTGGTAGACTGAAGGCCAGAGGGAACATCATGCTGAGCCAGAAGCTTCGGATGATTCTTAAAGACTACGCCAAGCTCTGAAGGGCACACTGCACTATTAATAAAAATAGAATAATTAAATACTCTCTTCACCCAAATAAGATTATTCAGAAATAATAAGATTGATTATTCTGCAAAAATGATCAAAACTAAAATGCCAAGGAATTGCTTAACATTTTCAGATAACTTTTCAGCCTTTCATTTTCTACTAATTTTTCATGTATCATTTTTATGAGGAACTGTATGTAAGCTAGCACATAATTATCCTCTGTTCTTAGATCTGTATCTTCATAATAAAAACTTTTCACCCAAGTCTAGTTTCTTTAGAATTTGTGATAGCATTTATAAGTTGAAAGAAAAATTAAATGAATAAGAGCCACTTTGATACTTTCTACACTTCATTTCCTTATTATTTTCTGTTCTCCAATTTATTAATACCCCAATGTTTTAACATGAATTTCCATATATGTATGTACTCATTTTTCACATTTTGTTATAATAGTATTTTGCTTTAAGACGAGAAAAGTCTTTGTGCTCCCACAGTTTCTTTCTTCTCCCTTCCCCTTTGCTGGAAATTCTTTACTTTCATACAATGTTTATAAATCTACTGGGTAGATAGCTTTCTTGCATAATCAGTAGTCTTAAATCATAGAGATGGTCAGTAGCAAGTACTGCTGTATCACAATTTTCCCCAACATTTAACTCAGATGAAGTGTGCTAGAAAATGCTCTTTTGATGGATTGGCCGCAGAGGTGACCAGCAGTAAGTGGGTCCGGCAATAAGTTTCAATCATGTAGCACAACTGAGGAGAATGTGTGTGGGTGGCTGTTACAGGCTGGCTTCCCGGGGACGCTGACTTTGAGATGGAGAGATGGAGATTCATAAGCCGGAAGCTGATTTGGGAGTGCTCTTCAGATCTACACTTGTGAGGGGAAGCAGGGCTGGGTAGAGGGAGAGGGAGAAGGTAGGCTGCAATGCACTTACCACAAGGCCTCAACCCATCTTTGGAGGAGGTCTGATCTCAGATTCGTCCCGAGGCAAGTAGTCATCAGTGATGGACCTTGGGCAAAGCAGCAGAACGATTCCTGGAATATGCTTATAGTCAGCTGATAATCTTCCCCACAGCTGAGGGAATATGTTCTTCAGTCCTGAACTGGGCTTTAGGGAGCTCAGTATAGTGTTTTATTTCAGGAAAGAAGAAGGTAGATTGAGGGAAATAAGAGTTTAGGGACCAGAGGAGAAGATCTTAGAAATTTGAAATTGTAATACTTACAACAGTGATGGAACATAGTGGACCTCAATATGTTATTGTTGATTTAGTGAGTGAGCAGAATAAGTAGAAGGCATAGAAGAAAGTTAGATATTTGTAATTATGCCTTTGTCTCATGAATTCTGGATAGTAGAGGGATCCATTGTTTTGCCAATTGAATTTTTAAAAGAAGCAATAGTAATATTTTTTTTTGAGACAGAGTCTTGCTCTGTCACCCGGGCTAGACTGCCGTGGTGTCAGCCTAGCTCTCAGCAACCTCAAACTCCTGGGCTCAAGCGATCCTCCTGTCTCAGCCTCCTGAATAGCTGGGACTCCAGGAGCCCACCACCACGCCCAGCTAATTTTTTCTGTATTTAGTAGAGACAGGGTCTCACTCTTGCTCAGGCTGGTCTTGAACTCCTGACCTCAAGCAATCCTTCTGCCTTGGCCTCCCAGAGTGCTAGGACTGTAGGCATGAGCCACCATGCCTGGCATTTTGCCATTCTTATTTAAATATGTACACATCAATTTTTACTATTAAAGAATAGCTATTTCAAGTCATTTTGGTCATCGTTTAACTTGTGTTTTCACATACTTTCTGTTCCTTTAAGATTCTGTCTCAAAATCTTTAACCAAATAAAATTATTAGTCCTTAAATAAAGAGCCAGATATATAAATCTCACCCATTCACAGGACATATATTCTTTCTTGAGCACATGTAGAATATTAAGGCCATAAAAAAATCTCAGTGAGTTTCAAATTACGATATCTAATCAAAATTTAATAAAGTTAAAAATCACCTATAAAAAATATTGTATTCCAAACCTCAAACATTTGAAAACCAATCATCTTTCAGCTAACAATATCTAATCAAAATTTAATAAAGTTAAAAATCACCTATAAAAAATATTGTATTCCAAACCTCAAACATTTGAAAACCAATCATCTTTCAGCTAAACATTCATAGTTTCTAGAGAATATCACAAGCATGTACATAATTATATACATTCTGTGTGTATGTGTGTGTGTACATATATATAATATGTATATACATATAATTATATATATAATTGTAACATTGTTTTTAGTGACAAATGAAACTAGAAATAAAATGATATTCAGTAATGGAAGACAAAATAAATTATGGTACCATGAAGTATTATGGAGACATTGAACAGAATTAACTGCGAAACATTTATCGCTAGATATTGTTGAACGACAAAAGGAAGATTCAGTTAAGTATTTATGCTTTAATTCAATTTTGAATAAAATAATATATATATATGTTCATGTACATAGATTTTTCACTGTAGGGAAAATGTATCTAAACACACTATGTTGTTAGCAGATTACCCTGGCAGGTGGGGTGGTGGTAGAGGTGGTCATAGTAGAATGGGGGGAAGAGAGGGAGACCAAGCAAAAAGAGTAAGAAAAAGTGTATTAACAAAGCTTGTATATTATCACATTTATTTTATAAAATTATGTCTGCATATGGGAATATATGGAAATTGTATTACATTGCAGGATACAGTTAAAGCAGTAATCAAAGAAAACTTTCATAGTTTAAAATTCTTACACTAACTTTAAGAAATAATATAAATAAAAGAAGTTTTTATTGGAAGCATGTTAACATACGCTTCCTCTCCCTGCGCACATAACAAATTCTAGACTATGAGAAGGAGAGTAGGTGTTTAGC